TCATCAGATCCTGAAGATAGACTATAAAAAGAGTTTTTCTTGACCAGAAAAGTTTGGGAAATGCTGAGATCCTGAAACACTGAGAAAACACGTTTCTTTATTGCTTGAATTTCCAGAGCTCTGAACACATCGGAGACTCTCAAAGATGACAGCTTTGCCAAGCATATTGGGCCACAGGAATCCCCTTTGAAGATATTTTTCTCTGGACCAGTGTTCTAGGGAGTGCTGACCCAGAAAACTTAGAACTTTGTATCATTTTACCTTCCTCCCACACCATGAGTGAAGACCCAGTTCAGAGTCCATAGGGGAAAAGGAGAATATATCTCAGATCTATAAAAAGCACAATTTGGAAAATAAATGGCAGAATGGGACCTAGGAAGTAATTTTCCTTTGTGGAAATGTAAGACATGTAAGAACATGTCCGAGGAAATGGGGTTTACAGACAAACATCACGATTCGTGCCTGAGAGAACTAAGACCAGAACAGTGCTGAACTCTAAGGGAGCAAACTTGTCTGGGGAAATTTTACTGCATAAATGGTTTTATTCACATTTTGGTAGAAAATCCAATTAACTTACTAGAAGGCTGCATTTCCAGACTAAGGAGATTAACCTCATGTTACTCAATATCATTGTAGTATTTTCCCCCCTGAGAAAGGACAGTTCTATATGGCAAAAAAAAAAAAAAAAAATATATATATATATATATATATATATACACATATATATATATATATATACACATATATATATATATATATATTTAATGACGCTAGCAAGGACAAATGAGAAAACAAGAAAAGGCAGAGGTGTAAGACAAGGAAAACATCCTCACTGGAACAAAGCATGGTGGACCCAAGAAACTTCGGCCAGAAATCCTGTTCTTGCCCAATCACTTTCCCCAGCTTTACTAATGTCTGGTCAGACTCCACGTGGAATCTGCCACAGAATCTGGGGTTTCAGTCTCAGAGTAAGAATGAAACATGGCTTCTTCCATTAAGCCAACACATCCGAATGCCCATTGTCAGATGCAGAAACTGAGTTTTAAGGAAGTTTTTAAAAGCCCTGAAATGGGGTGATGTCTCCTAACACACACTTTATGTAACAACTTGGGGTCTGCTCTGTGAACTTGCTTTGGGCCAAAACCCAGCTGCAAGGCTCCTGCAACACTCCTGAGCTTGATGTCTGTCATTTTTGGAATAAACTACGTGTTTAGGAAAGTCTGGGAATTACCAGAGTTCAAAAGTTCCTTCTTTCTGTGAAGAAGCCTAAAGGATCTTCTAGAGCAACTTCCTGATCCTTTGCCTAAGGCTTTCGTGGTGCTTCTGTTCAGTGAGCTGCTCAGCAGACCCCCCATTACTGAGTTGGACAGTGAGAGCTCAGTGACCCTCCAGGGAGAAGCGGAATCTGAGAAGGTCAAAGCTGGAAAGGACTTTCATGATCATGTCTATTAGCCCAACCCCCTCTATTTACAGATCCCAAAACATGAAGCCTAAAACCCACCCAGAATCCAAGAGCGAATGTGCTCTCCCCCTCCTTCTATTTGTGCGCAAATAGAATGTTTCCCATGGCATCCAGCCAGAGCCTCTACATAGTAATGTCTAGAGGATTTATGAGGCCACACGATCCTCTGGGTTTCTACGCAGACCTAAACAGGAAACCCACACAAGGAAATGCTCTTTCTGTTTGCAGGCCGGATTCCCAGGATGCTTTCACCAGAGTGCCCTGGCTGGAACAAAACCAGGGCCTGGCCCCCAAAACGCCCTTAGATCCCGAGGCAGAGGTGCCGTCCCCACCCCTGTCCACCCTCACCCCCCTCCACCAGGCCTGCGATAATTTAAGGAGAACACAATTTGCTTCTCTCAGACCTCGACGTCAGGTGGCTCCATTGGTCTAGATGCCAAACAGGGGTCAGTCAGAGACACCCACCCCTCCTCCGATCTCTGGCTGAGTTCAAGACTTTGCTTCTCCTCACCTACGTGACATCAATTAACCTGGGGAAGTTAGGCACCCCGCTCACCAACCCCCATTCTGTCTGCATGTTGCATTTTGCCTCCAGAAGATGCCTCAGGGCTGAAAAACTATGTGCGTTTCCCAGCCCAGGGGCATCCAGATGCTTCTGGGTCCTTCTGAGTCATCATTGCACGTGACAGATGGACACTCAACCTAACCCAGCTCTGCTCTCCTTTGCTGCAACCTCAACCCAGTGTTCTGCCAAATCTCCTCTCCCCGGGTCATCAGTCCATCTGCCCTTGTGTCCAGCCACTCCGGCCCAGGATGGCATTTTTCATTCTTTTCAGCTCTCCATGGAAGATTTGGAACTTCGGAGGCTGCTGCTCAGGGCTGGACAGGAAGGAAGTGTGCGTTGCTGCCCCCAGAACGGAACAGCAGTGCTGGTGACCCTGCTCCCCCTCCTCAGGCGTCCCCCTCGGGGCTCACACTGAAAATAGACTCTGTTCTCCTTGGTTACCCCCCACCTCCCCCAGGAGAGAAGACACAGGCTTCTGGTGAGCTGGCGCTGTTATCGGGACTGACTGTATTTCAGGAATTACCAGATGTTGGGAGAGGATAATGTGTCACTTCCTCTAACAAACAGTCTGGGCATCTGTGCATTTCCTTTTGAGCCAGCTCTTTAGGAGACTATGATGCAGTGATGTTGAAGGACAGATCACTCTGGCCTCCGCTCTCGGGGGGCTCTCCAAACTATTTGGTCCCTATCCTTCATTAAGAAACTGTTTCTGGGGGTACCTGGGTGGCTCAGTCGGTTGAGCATCTGCCTTCCGCTCAGGTGATGATCCCAGGGGGTCCTGAGATCCAGCCCCAGGTTGGGCTCCCTGCTTAGTGGGGAGTCTACTTCTCCCTCTCCCTCTGCCCCTCCCTCCACTGTGCATGAGCTCTCTCTGTCTCTCAAATAAAAATTAATAAAATCTTTAAAAAAAAAAAGTATTTCTATCCTCTGTATGCATGGGTGACACCATGAGGGGACACCATAGGTAGTGGTTAAAGTCAAGGGCTCTGGAGGGTCACCTGGGTGGCTCAGTCAGTTAAGTGTCTGTCTTCAGCTCAGGTAATGATCTCAGGGTCCTGGGATCAAGCTCCCCATGGGGCTCTACACTCCATGGGGAGTCTGCTTGTCTCTCTCTGCCCCTCTCCCTACTTGCTCTCGCTCTCTCGCTCTCTCTCTAAAATAAATAAATCTTAAAAAAAAAAAAAAAGGCAAGGGCTCTGGAGACAAGATAAAGGTGCTAAGGGAAAAGGACAAGTAGCCAAGAACTCTAGGAGGGGACTTGGAGTAATCAAATTGTCCATCCATTGTGGTCTCAGTGGGGGACAGGCACAAGCCACGTTACTGGGGAGCTCACCCCACCACCCCAGCCAGCCCTACTGAATCTGAAACTCTGGGGATGAAGCTCAGCACCCTCTTTTGAGCCTTCCAGATGGTTCTGATGGGCCCTTGAGTTTGAGAATCCCTGACCTGGATAGATGCACATTAGGGATTTCTCAGCAGCCAAGAGAAAAAGAGATGGTTACCCAAGAAAATGCTTCAGCAACCGCACAGAGGTGGGACTTAGGGGGGAGGCTATCTTGGCAAGAGAAAGATCCTACAAATAGAAATGAAGTGAACTCAGAGAAAATAATTAAAGATGTAGTAATATCCCTCTGCTATACTGGGCTAGTTTGTAGCACTTCTAGAATATGGTTTAACGGAGAATATATTCATAGGATATTTTTCAGATTAAAGACAATGTACAATGTGGGCCCAATTATGTAAAATGTGTGTGTATATCAGTTCAATAGGAACAATATTGGAAAATTACATATGAAAATGTTAACAGCAATCAACCCCCGGTGATGGATTATGGATAGTTATTATTTTATCCCTTAAGCTTTTCTGTTTACACCCCCAACTTTTCCATAGTAAGTAGGGCTTTTTATAACCAAATTTTTTTTTTCAATACCGTGACAAGTTTGTTGGGTCAAACAGTCCTTTAAACAAATTTGTATGGCCCTCTGCAGAGGCTAGCTCGCCAAGAATTTATGTCACAGAGATAATTAGCACCACCTGTTACGCTTGGGCTAAAAGGGGGCCTTGAACAACAACAAATGAGGGGACTGTGAAACTCATCAGCTCCATTTCAGACCCTCACAGCCGGGAGAGACCCCCCACCCCACCCCACCCCCTCCCACAGCACCTGCCGCCTGGGCCCTGGGCGCCGGTGAGCGTGGCTCTGGGGGTGTTGGGCGTTGTCAGCATCCGCGGGGCGCTGCCCCTCCGCGCCGCTTTGTGCGAAAGCCCGGCGCCTCTCGGTTTTTACACCCCGATTTCCAGCTGGGGATAAGCTCGAGGCAAACACAAAGCAAAACAAAAACACTGAAAGAGCCCTTAAAAGCCTTGAAAGGAAGAAAGGACAATGAAACGTGATGTAAGAGCCTCCGCCGAACAGCCAGTGACTCAGCGCTTCTGCCCCATCAACACCAGCTGCAGCCCGCGGAGGCTCACAGAACAGTCCCCCCCCCCCTCCACGCTGTGACACACACACACACACACACACACACACACACGCTGTGCAAACACCCCACCGCCTGGAGCGGAGCAAAAATTCAGCCCTTGCACAGCACCGCAGACAAGACCCAAAAGATCTGCAGCTGCTGCAGGGCAGAATGGCTAAGGGTGTTTCTTGCACGTTAATTCCGCTATTAACATCTTTTATCCAGACTCTATCCCTAAGGAGTTGGACGCGTGTCCCTGGGAGCAGAGTCAGCAAATTGGAACCAGTACCTGCCTGCAAGCCCGGCTGTCTCTCCTCTGACACATCACAGGGTGAAATTTGGTTAGTGGGGTTGGTTGGAGTGCTGGCTTCTGCAGGAGGCTGGGCTCAGAGGGGATGGGGGAGTTGCGTGTTCAGTCCCCACCCTTTGTGAGTCAGGGAGGGGGCTGGGAGAAGATTTGCACAGACTATAGATGGGAGTGGGAATCTGTCCCGAGGGATTTTGACTCAGGCAGTGACTCTGTCTGCAAACGGATCATCTTATTAAAAGTTGCATTTTTAAACTCAGTCCTTACCACAATTCAGAGTCGGTTGAAGTAACCCCTCCCATGGAGTCGGCTTGCCTTGGCCCCGCTCTTCCCAGATGGCTCTGCTACCACAGGGCCCGCCCCAAGGAACTCTGCCCATGAGGCTGGTCCCTGAGGCCTGACGCTTCCATCCAGCACCACATCCACATTGCACCAGCCACCGCTCTCGAGATTCGATCCCAAAGCAGCTTTATTTCTGTCACCCGGGGCTCCTTCAAAATGTATTCCACAGGGAAAGCTCTCTCCTGCCGTTCGATGAAAAACCCCATGAACTCCAGAATTTTTCTGCTGGCTCAGGTATGAGATCATTCTATGGACGGACATTCAAATCACAAAACACAGTCTTGTTTCAGAAATTAGGTGTCTGGGCCAAGAATCCCAGCAAACATTGTAATGTTCATTCCAAGGTGGGGCTTCCCAGCACTTCCTGTGCCCAGTACGGTGGGAAGGAGCAGGGCTCCGGGGACGGCATGGTTCTTATCAGGCTAAGGACGTGGCAGATAGTTGAATGGACTCTCTTTCCTGGATCTGCTTTTTTGTTTGTTTTGGTCTCAGGCACCCAGATGCTATCCTCAGGCTGCTCCCCCTGCACAGATTCTCCACCCCCCCCCCCCCGACTTCCCTCATCCCCTCACCTCTCAGGCCAACTCTTGGATCAAATTCAGGATGTCACCTAGCCTGCTCTCTCCCTCCTGAGGCCCACACAGGTTGGTCCCTGCTCTCTGTGGGGTGCAGTTCTTGCTCAAATGAAGCCCTGTTTTCTCTTTCTTCTACCTCTTCCCACTGCCAGGGCTGCTGCTGGAGGTTTCTGGGCCATTCTGCAAACGCAGGTCTCAGAGTGGATCTTCTCTTGCGAGATGTGAGGGAAAGGAGGTAAGAGCCCCAGCCCCATCCCTCTTGGGGAGGCCAGTGCAGTCATGGCTTTCCTGACAAATCCCCCTCTCCTTTTTCTTGATCCTTCTATATCCCTTCATGGGTGAGGGTTTCTGAGGGCTGTGAAAACCAGTTTCTGGACATTCCCTTTGAAAATCTGCATATGGTCTGTGTGACAAATACACATGCCTCAAATGAATATACTGTTCAACCAGCCACCTGTCTGGGGCACATAAGAGTCGTCATCTATAAGGTGGGAGTAATCCTATCTGCGCTCAGGAAGGCTCCAAGCATACCAGTCTGAGTACATGGCCCTTAGGTGAAAACAGTGTTTACATTCACCTATTAATGGTGTTATGAACTCACTTCACTTTCAGCTTCTTATAATTTTGAGATCAGAAACCTTTATCATATCACATTGAGTATGGAAAACCTCTGCATATTTTTTATTTTTAATTTTTTAAAAGATTTTTATTTATTTGTCAGAGAGAGCACAAGCAGGGGGAGTGTCAGGCAGAAGGAGAAACAGTCTCCCCTCCGAGCAGGGAGCCTAACATGGGACTCGATCCCAGGATGCTTGGATCATGACCTGAGCTAAAGGCAGACACTTAACCAACTGAGCCACCCAGGCATCCCACCTCTGCCTATATTTAAGTTTGCATTTTCAAATATAAGCTATAGTTTGTAATTCTTAATATTCAACAATAAACATTATGACACCATAAAAAAAAAAAAATACTATCTGACCTCCTCACCCCCTAGACCTGTTGGGATTTGGACAAGACCAGAGAAGCTCTGGGAACTCGCATGCTGTCAGTGGTGGGTTGGAGTCGGTGCGTGTCTGTTCCCAGCTCCCAAGTTCTGGAATATCACATTGGTAGTTTGAGATTGGCCGTGGTGAGAGTCCATTTCCACCATGTATTTGAGCAAATGCTGCAAGTTAGAGCTTTCTCTCTCCCTTCCCCACCCAAAGCTGATTATTAAACACCCATATACCGCTGCATGCAATTATAATGCAATAAATTTTATTGCTATATATGGTCTATATCTGGAGGCCTCACGTGACGTGGCTGGAAGATAAGGCTCCTGGGTAGAGCCATGATAAAGAAGAGAGCATCAGAACGAAGGCTTTGCCTCCCATAGGAATATCCCTGGGAGTGGCCCCAGAGATGTGCCCAAGGGCAGGACAATAGGGTTCTCAGGGCCTGAGGAAGCACCTGCTTTCTGGGAAAAGTGATTTCCTAACAGATGGGGGAGAGGAGTGAGTGTGTGTTCCTCAGAGTGGGAAGGCAGGCTGGGATGGCTAGAGTGGCCCTGGGAAGCAGGGTGGCCCCATTTTCAGGCCTAGACCAGTCTCTACTCCTGCAGGTCCTCCCTGATGCCTGGATGCACAGAAGGCCACTCCAGCCCCACAAGCAGCATGGCCTCTGTGGCCCCAGAGCTGGGCTCCACCTCCTGGCCCTTAAAGGCAGCAGAATCTAGGATAGTGAAGGCCACCCCACGAGAAAGGAACAGAGGGGGCATCAGTAGCCATCTGGGATGACGGAAGCCTTCTGGGGAGCTGGCAAAGGTAGGCGGGGGTGGGGGGTTGGCTAGGATTTTGCTCCTCTGGCTTTGACATCTTACCTCAGGGTGGTAAGGATGGCCCAGACTCAGAGCACAAGGCCAGGGCCAGTGAGCACCCCAGGCTCAGGGTGTGGAGGGCCAGTCCCTGACAGTGACAATTATGACGCTCCCTGGAGGGGCCTCAGGAACAGAGGAAAGCCTGTCACTAACAGTGACTCGGCCTGCAGCAATGACCCAGTGAACGAGCAGTTGGGCGTGGCCAGCCTCCTAAAGGAGCATGAGTGTGCTGGGGGGAGGAGTCAGAGCCCAAACAGGTGAATGGCATCTACAGATCTACACCCCCGGGGTCCATCTGAGATGCCGTCTGTCACCCTGGTTCCTAAGGCAGGAAAACTTCTGCTCCGTTTTCTCTATTGCTGCGGATTTTGTTTTCTTCTCAGAGTATCTTTACAGAAACTGCGTCTAATTGGATTGTTGTTGTTGTTGTGTTCTACCAGCTGTGGAGAAGCCCCATTCGCTTTCTAATACTGTTCGAGAGTCTCAAGTATATGAGAAATTAAGCCATACTTGCCATTCTTCAAAATGTTTAAATTTCCATGTAGGTCCCATTGGCCTGGTTTTCTTTTGTCCTCTTGGGGCACAGAATCCCGAACAACACTACCCTCTGAGCTGTGGCAGAAGGAAGACAGCAATGTCAGAGAGCAGTGGACTGTTAATCCTGACGAGGGACAGACCAGAAAAGCCACTGCTTCCTTCCCGGTCACACGTCCTGTGGGAGAGAAGCTGCCAAACATGAGCCTTGCTTGCTTTTTAAACCTCAGCAAAGGAGAGCATAGACATAAGGAAGGGGAGATTAAATTCTAACGGAAAGATAAGCATTTATTTTTGAATGTTGGATACACAGCAGCTCCATCAGGGAGTAGTGATAAATTTTACATTTTGACATCCAAATCTTAAAAAGTAGTGAAGTCCAAACCTGTTCTGAGCCTGGGTGGCTCAGTCAGTTAAACACCTGCCTTCAGCTCCGGTCATGATCCCGGGGTCCTGGGATCGAGTCCTGACTCGGGCTTCCTGCTCAGCGGGAAGCCTGCTTCTCCCTCTCCCTCTGCCACTCCCCTTGCTTGTGAGCTCTCTCAAATAAATAAATAAAATCTTTTGAAAAATAAATACATGATAGTTATTCCAGATCTGGAGGTAACATGGCTTCCACTAGTAAGATTATGTAGCATCAGTCCCCAGTCTGACTTTCCATGGAGTCTTGCTCAGGACAGAGGTCCTGGGCCCCAGTCCACCCTGCTGGGGCTGACGAGAACCTGATGATTCTACTAAACCAGCTTACGTCTCTCTGAGTTTATTTAAAATGGGTGAAGACCCCCAAATTGTCATGTCCATTACTATACTGCCATCTAATGGCGAGGTGTATTAAAACACAAATGTCAGGGACCACTGACCACTCAAGGTTTTTTTCATAGCAAACAGTTATAATGTATCTCTTTGTCTCTCCAGATAAGTCACCAAATGGCCCCCATAGTTCACAGAAAGGAAAGTCATGAAGTCTCTAATTTGACTATCTGAAAAAAGATTGTGTAAGCATCAGTGAGGACAGGAGGATTTCTAAAACACTCCCAAAGTGTGCATGGTAAGAGAAGACTGCTCTTTTAAGAGAGTTGTTTACACTTTCCTGCATATGAGAATTTAGGAACAACAGAAGGATTTGTACAATACAGTATGTGTATAATGAATTATTATCTTACAGAAAGGAGGACAAAAATTTCAATCATAACCCCATGCACTCTCCGCTGCTCTAAAAATAAAGTCCCACGGCACAGATTAAGTTCCATTGCTATATAAGAAAACACTGATATATTACCAACCCTTTGCCCTCTGCTCCTGCTGGTCAAGATTTTAGATTACTGGTTTTCCTCAGTGCTAAATGTTGGAAGTGGATATTGGGGGAAATTTACTGAGCAATGAAAATGAAGACTGCCTCTCCCTTCCCCATGTTCCCCACTCCCCCTGCTCCTAATACACAGGACACACATATCAGGGATTTTTCCACTTCCTGAGCAATTCCATTAGTGTCACCAATAACTCAACTCTAAATCACATCAGAAGACAGCTTGAACCCCGGGAATTCCTGGGTGCAGCTAGCTGGTCCACAGTGCACAGAGGCTTGCTGCAGAACCCCCAGGACTCCAGGCTGCTGAGAGGCTGGCATAGACTAATGACAACAGACACTCGACCAGCTTCAGGGGAATGAAGGGCCATGAGAACAGCAAGCATGATGGGTAGGTAAATTAGGATACCCTGAAACTTGGCTTCAAACACCAAGTATGCTGTGTAATTTTGAGAAATACTGTTAACGAACTTAAAACAACCTAAAAATGCAACTTGCAAGTTGACTTCCAACCAGGGAACGGGGCAGGGATCACCGTTAGACCAGAGAAAATACCTTCTGGGGTGAGATCCATATTGTGTGCCCTTTCCCAAACAGCGCCCCTCCCCAGCTTTTGGAGCACAGAGTGGTAGAAAGGTGTGCTGTTAGGTTGTTTTTGTGGGTTTTTTTAAAGATTTTATTTATTTATTTATTTACTTACTTACTTATTTATTTATCAGAGAGAGAGACAGCATGAGCACAAGCAGAGGGACCGGCAGAGGCAGAGGGAGAAGCAAGCTCCCCGCTGAGCGAGGAGCCCGATGCGGGACCCGATCCCAGGACCCTGAGATCATGACCTGAGCCGAAGGCAGATGCTTAACCAACTGAGCCACCCAGGTGCCCCAGGTGTGCTGTTAGGTTATAAGCATACCTAGAAGCACAGAACTGTACAAAACTACCACATCTCCTCCCAGTACACGGATACAACAAAACTACCAGGCACATCTTATAAATCCATGATTTTCTTTTTCTTTTTATTTATTTATTTATTTGAGAGAGAGAGAATGAGTGGGAGGGCCAGAGGGAGAAGGAGAGAATCTCAAAGCAGACTCTCCGTCGACCATGGAGCTCGACTCGGGGCTCGATCTCATGGCTCTGAGATCATGATCTGACCCGAAACCAAGAGTCAGTTGCTTACCGACTGCACCACCAAGATGCCCCTAAATCTGTGATTTTCTAAGTGCTGACCCCAACCAGCAGCAGAAGCTTCACCTAGGAACTTATTAGAAATGCAAATTCTCAGAGCACCTCGGTGGCTCAGTCCATGAAGCACCAACTTCAACTCAGGTCATGATCCCAGGGTCCTTGGATCAAGCCCCACATTGGGCTCCCTGCTCAGTGGGGAGTCTGCTTCTCCCTCTCCCTCTGCATGCTGCTCCCCCAATTGTGCTTTCTCTCTCTCTCTGTGTCAAATAAATAAATCTAATAATAATAATAATAAAGAAATGCAAATTCTCCAGCCTGACACCTGACACTAGTCCTACATACAGAGTAGGAAACTCTGGGGTGGGTACAGAAGTCTGTGTTTTAACACATTCTCCGGGGGATTCTGCTACAGACATAAGCTTGAGAACCACTACCTGAAGGATGCAGTTTGTTGGTTAACAGATGGCAGGCGAGGTTGTGACCAAATAAGTTTAGCTGGAACCTGAAGCTCTGGGATCAACGTTTTGGCCCCCGTGTCCTCAGCTCCCTCAGTGTCAAGCAATGCGTCATCCTGGCCCCGAGCACCCCGGCAGTTTTAGTAGGTTCTGTCTACCTCCGGAGCCTGCTTCTTCTCCCTGGGAATGAGCGAAAGCCACTGGAGCGACGCTAGTCATCCACGTTGGAGCTCAGCAGAGACATCCCCAGGGACGCTCGATCACCTATCTTGTTGTTTAATCTTTAGCATCGGTGGTTTGCTTCCAGGTCCAGCAAGAATGGTTGGCAAGCACGGTTGTTAGGTGGGAGAACTGGAACAGGAGATCTCGCTGTGCTCAGAGGAAACCGCGCGGCCAGCCAACCGCTCCAGGGACGGAGACAGCAACAGACCCAGCATCACTTCACGAAGAGGACAGAAAGCGACGGATTTTAGGGCTTTTCTTTTTTTTTCTGATAAAGTTACAGAAACGTCTAAATACAACTTGAAAACCCACTTTCCCACCACCTAAAATGAACGACTATTAACATTGTGTCTGCAGATGAGCTGGGAGAACAGAGAGCAGTTGGAACAGGGCGAAGCAAGGAAGTTTTTCTGAAGTAATTCTTAACAAAGGACGTCCTCGTGCTTTTATCAGAAAACATTTCCACTGTGAGGTTTCCACATAGCTGCTAATAATAACTTGTAAATTTGCCTAGCTGGCGGCTGGAGCATTGGAATTTACGAATAACAAAGAGCAGAAAAAGAACTGAAGAGGAAGCCAGCTCTTTTCCTTGGGAATAAACACAACTTGCTTTTGAACAACCCTCCCCTTTCCTCCAAAGAGAGCAGGAAAGAACTCAGGCTAGTCCAAGGACAAGCAGGCTATGGATCATTAAAGTGGAAGGCTTTTCCATCCCTGTTAGTGGAATCAGAGCCAGAGGCAGGAAGCCCAGAAGCGAGAACCACCACCAAGGGCACGCCCCTCCCTGGCTCTGACCTTGAACTATGTTTGGTGTCACCCACAAACCCGAGAGGCAGTAAGAATGCGTGAAGTCAAGTTCATGAGCCCTGGTGTTTGTTCCCAGGGTGGGGAAAGGGTGGAGGTGTCACGGCTGGAGGGCTGGTCACCAGAGAGGACAAAGCCTTGCGGGGGCCTGAGCTGGCCAAGGCACAGGGCGAGGGGCTGTCATCCCCACTCTGACCCAGTTTCCCAGCAACATGGAGAACCTCCGAATGAAATCACCTGTGGCCCTGAGGACCTGTCTTCTATTCTTTGATAAGCTCACTCCACCTCTAGAGGCAAAAAATACATAGTAAAATACTCATCCTCCCACTTAACCTCGACCGGGAACCTCATTCTTGCTTGGAGAAACCTGTTTCCCGTTTCCCGTTTCCCCGGCAGGCAGAACAAAGTTGGAGGGGAGCAGAGGAGTCTTCAGTCTGTGCAAGAGGGCGGGGGTGCCTAGACCAGATACCCACTGGGCATCTCCCTTTTGTGTACCTATTGGTGAAATGAATATACTCATTGGCGAATTTAATAAAGTTAAGCGTGCAGCTCAGCTGAGCAGCCTCAGCAAACTTTCCCGCACCCCCACCCCCGGCAGGTGCACAGTTGGGTTTCTAGCACCCGGCGCCCCACTTCTCAGAGCAACGCTGCATGACCTCACGGTTCCAGGCTTTATGATGCCCGCCTGCTCCCCCACCCACCACACACACACTGGTTGTGCTTCTTCCCAGATCTCTCAGAAGCTCTTTAGAGGCAGTGGGAGCCTGTTTGCAGCTGCCAGAGCACCGTACCGAGGAAACCTGCAGAAGCATTCGGGCCCATCAAAAACCAATAACAAGAAATGGGTTTTTCACCTGGTTTCCTATGGAAAAAATAATATGGGGGGGGAGGTGAGTTTAGAATACACGCGTGGGTGGATGCATGTGCATGTTCTTACGTCGATTAGAAATTCTTTCAGCCAATAAACATTTCTTGGCACCTACCATGTACAAGACTCTGTGCTCTCTGACAACAAACGTGAGTGAGACACTGTCCCTAACTTCCAGGAGCTCACAATCTAGAGAAAAATCACCCTTACAAACTGGAAAATCATATCATAAGTCCTATGATAAAGGCTCATTCATCTATTCAACAAAGATGGACTGTGCACGATGTGCCAGCTTCAAGGATGAACAAACAGTTTTGAGAGCACAGAGGCCAAATGTAACTACCATTCCTCTTCCGAACACAAAGGATGTGATAGGAGAGCCGCCATGCACATGCTCTTCAAGGAGAGGGTCCTTCTTTTTGCACAACCATCCCACCTGGTGTGTGCCCACAAACATCCAACATATCCTGCTTCCCAAGGATGGATTTCCTGTCCTCTCATTCACTAGTCAGTTTCAACCCGATCTTTGTTGGAAAGAAGGCTTTCTGGAGGGAAGCCCGAACTGAGTCTCAGAGGATGTGTGGGAATGAAACCAAGTTGTGTGTGTCAGAGGGACCGCTCGAGAAAGACAGGAGAGATGCCATGTGGGCACGGAGACCACCATGCAATCCAGCCTCTTGAGCATAGAGATTCCAAAGCCTTGACCTTGCCGGAGTTGTTTGCAGTTTGGCAAGCTTCCGGGAGCCAACCCCATTCTTGAAGGATGGCATAGCAACTAGAAGGCCAACTTCTTAAGTCAGAGTAGCTCTGGCCGGTGGGCCATGCGGCTTTGGAATCTGGATAGATGCAGAAGGATGCTGAGTGAGCAAGAAATTGGAGCAATTTGCAAAGTCAGTGATCTTGTCATCAACTGAGGGCAGCTGCGGTCTCTTTGTGGCTCCCACCTCTGTCCCCTCCATGCAGAGCCAAGTTTCCAGGAGCTGCACTTTGCTCTGCTCCCTCAGCCCCCACAGCCCGCACCCCACCCTCCCCTGCACCTGCCTCTGCGAAGGCCACAAGTCCCTCTGGTTCAGCTGCCATTGATATGGCCTAAAAATTCCCAAATCCCCATCTACAGCTCAAATGCCTTTTTTTTTTCTTTTCAGTGTGATAAAATACATTTAACATAAATTTACCATCAGAACCATTTGGGTTTTTTAAAGTGTACAGCTCAGTGGCATGAAGCACATTCACACTGTTATGCAACCATCCTCACCATCTGTCTCCAGAACCCTTTCGCCTCACAAACCTGAAACTCTATACCTGTTGAACATTCCTCCCTCCCCCAGCCCCTGGCAACCACCGTTCTACTCTGTCTCCGTGAGTTGGATGACTCTAGATACCACATAGAAGTGGAATCACACAGTATTTGTCCTTTTGTGACTGGTTTATTTCACTCAGCGTAATGTCCTCAAGGTTCATCCGTGTTATAGCAGGTGTCAGATTTCTTTCCTTTTTAAGGCTGAATTATACACACATACAAATAGACATACTACATTTTGTTGATCCCTTCATCCATCGATGGATACTTGTGCTATTTGAATAATCCACTAACATGGGTGCACAAATAGCTTTTCGAGACCCTGTTTTCAATTCCTTGGGATAAATACCCACAAGTGGAACTGCTGGATCACATAATAATCCTATCTTTAATTTTCGGAGAAACTGTCATACTATTTTTTCCCACCACTTTACATTCCCACCAACAACGTACAAGGGTTTCAACCTTTCCCCATCCTTGTCAATGCTTGTAATTTTCTGGTTTTCTGATATTAGTCTTCTTCATGGGAGTGAGATTCCAATGGCTTCTATCAATGCTAGACTTGCATAGCCAGCTCCCTACTGGACATTTCCATCTGAATACCTCAAGGAACCTTGAACTTGACTTGTTCGAAACTAATCTTTTCCCCCCAAACCTGATCCCCTCTGGAGTTCCCTGTGGGAGCAAACCACCACTGTTCCTCCAGGTGCCAGAGCTGGACGCTGGAAGCTACTCTTGTCCATTCCACCAATCCTAGCTCCTTGGTACGTCCTGAACCTTCCCTCTTCTCCCCACTCGGTCCTAATGCTTTCATCTGAGCTGAGGTCAGGGTCACCTCCCCTGGGAATGCCCACGCCAGTCCCTGCCTTCTGTCCCGCTCCCGCTGACTTATTCTTCCCACTCCAGCCCGAGTTATCACTTTAAAATGCGAATTGGATCCCATCCTCCCGTTTAAAATCCTTCAGGGGCTCCCCAGTGTCTTCAGGATAAAGCTTGAAGTTGTTAGAATTACAACTCCGTAGCCTGGCCCTTTCAGATCTGGACAAACCTTAGCTCTTAACACTTCCCGGCTTTGTCCTTCGAGTGCATATTGAATGGCTAGCAGTGGCCCAAATGTGCTACAATTGCAATTCCTCTCCCCAAGAATCCTTACCTGGAACACCCTCCCCCACTCCAGCTTCCTCCAGTACCTAACCCTGTTGAAATGTCACCTTCTCTGGGCCTCTGGCTCCTCCAGCTGGGCTGGGACCCCGTCCCCTAGACGTAGAGCACATTGAGGTTCTGGACTATGCTCTATTTATCTTTGCATTCCAGTGTCTGGCTCAGAGTTTGGCACATACTAAACACCATCTGGGCAGCCAAAGCAGGCTTCCTGGAGGAGATGACAACTCACTTGAGTCCTAACAAATGGCGAAGAATTGGCCAGATGGAAACAGGTCAAGGAATATCTCAGGAGGTAGAGGCAACAAGCAAAAAAGCATGCAGGCGTGCGGTTCAGACCAATGCATCGGAGAAACATGGGTCGTGCAAGGTGGCTGGGTGGCTAGGTGGCTGGGGCAAAGGGAGTGGCAGAGACGAGGCCAGGCACGCTTGTCAATGGACTCACAGCAGAAACACCTTCGGGCCGTCCTGGCCAGGGCTCCAAAGCATGGAGCTATTCTGTAAGACTAGTTAGGGGTGACCTATGAGCCCTGGTATTCAGAATTAAGGCGCTGATGACAGATAAATGCATTATCCTCCCAGAGTATGCACACTTGAATTAAGTGGTGGATCGGCCATTCCCCAAATAGACCTTCATGAGGCCATTGGTTGAATTGAACTGACAAAAAGCATTAACACAAAAAAAATATTGATAATAATAACGAAATGTCTTATATCCATGAAAATATAATAAGATAGTATTAATAAAGTTATGAAATGAAATTTGGGTGCTTCCGGAAATCAGTCAGAGGCTAAGGGAGAGACATGTACGGGCTGGAGATGACAAGGCTCCTAAAATTGGGAAGCACCAGTCCTTCCCACAGTCTGAAGATCAAGAAGTCAGAGGAGGTAAGGAGTGGAAGCAGGATAGGTGGGAACAAGAGAGGAGAGGTTAAAAAGGGTCAGATGGTGAGCAGAGAACAGAACCAGTGGGTTTGGGGGACCTTGCTGTTTCTCCTACACAGCGAAGCCCTTCACACAGTGTCCCCTCAGTGACAAAGGCTCTGAACAATGGTGGACGGAGTCCTGATGTCACATATGGCCCCGGACCATTCCATGAGTCTATAGAAACCAGTCCCCAGCATTGGGTAAGATGGTTCTGGATTCTCACCTGTGATCCTCGTATAGCTGGGGTGTTGGGGGTGAGAGCACCTGGCTCCGGGGTCCCCGACAGACCAGGTTCAGCCACTCCCTGCAGACAAAATCAAAGGCGGAGAGTGGAGTGAAACAGGAAAGGAATTTATTTTAGCAAGGCCGACGCCGGGCTTTGCCACCTGCCCCTGACATGACTGGGAAGACTCGCGTAGACATGGCCTGGGATGCCCTGGCAGCACCAGGAGGAGAGAAGAACCATCCTGCGTGGCCCATCGGCTTCCCCTGGGTGCTCTGTGAGAGGCGGGAAAGGGGGACACTGAAGCCTCGGTAAAACCACGGCCCTGGCCCCACAGGAAAAGTTCCCTGGTGAGGTCACACCCTCCACGGAGGCAGCTCAGAAAGGCTGGGGAAAGAGGTCTTCTCTGGGAATTGGGCATGGGGGAAAAGGGCCACAGGGGGTCAAAAGCCAAGGCTGCAGGAAACAAAGTGCGGGTGGTGGGGCGGGGGGGGGGGGGGGGGGGAGTGACCGGCTAGTGTTCGCGTGCTGTCACCTCCCGGCGGACTTCAGAACTGCAGAGCCGCCCTGCTGGAACAGAAATGCACCAAGCGTGCATTAATGGGGCACCCGGATGTGGGCGGCGTAAGACTTGGTCCCCGACCTTGCTGACATTGCGGTTCAGGATGAGAGAGACAGTAGCAGGTCGTGTGTGGTAAGTGCGAGCGGCAGAAGAAGGTGTGCACGCCAGAATGGCGGGGTATTGCCACCTCCACCCTGTTATCCAGTCCTCCAATTCCAAGTCACAAATACTCCCTAGATCCACCCACTTCTCCCCGCTGCCACTTCTCTCCTCATCCAATTCTCATTTTTGCCTAGCCTCCTCTAAATATTCGCTTTCTTTCCCTCAATCGTCCACATCAGCCTGCTTAAAATCTTTTAGTGTTTTATGATTGCTCTTAGGATGGAGACCAGGTCAGGTGGGTGCTCACTGGGGTCCCTCCTCCTCACCCTCAGTGGGATGCTTTAACCACGGTGGCGTCTCCCTCCGAGCCTTGCAGTAAGACTCAACACTATTCCATTCTGAATGGATGGTCCCCAGGGAGGGTCACTGGCAGAGGGAGGGTGAGATTAATGGGGGTGGGGGGTGAATGTAGGGAAAGGTAGTGGAGAGAGACCATTAAAGTCAGAAGACCTCCAGGCTGATTACCCCTAAAGCATGTGAAGTGCACACATAACTTTCTCTGGGTCTCAGAGTGAATGATGTTGTGCATACATTGCGGGGAGAGTGTCCTAATCACCTACTTGGCGTCCTACCCTGGGGCTCTGGCTGGTTGGATTCATTCATTCTGCAACCTTTAGGGAATTCCTGTCATCTAAGAGGTTATACCCACCCGTGGCCCCCAGAGGGCACTGTAGAGGCGCTTCTGGGCAGCTTGTCCTGCACTCAGGTGCTGATCAACTTCAGGGTCAGTGGCCCCAGATGTGAAAGCTGCTGAGGTCAAAGCAATCTGATGATTATGGAGCAGGGTGGGTGGAGGAGTGTGGGAGAGTGAATGTCTACTCTGTGAGCTATCTGAGAGTCCTTGAACAAACATATTTTGTTGGGTTAGCTCCTTGCAACCAAGGAGCCACAACATGTTATCTGGTTCACATCTCCTGGTTGGCCAACCACAGATGGTGAGCAACACATATTGTACAAGCCTTGGATGGTAGCTGCCAGAGGAGGAGGTGGCTGGGAGCTCCTGAAATGTGCTCAGGAGTCCATCGTGGTGCTTGGGGGCTAGTCGGGAAGGGTAGACGGAATGGCTGGGAAAGAAATTACACCACCTTGCTGAAGACATCTCTTACCAGTGGGAACGAGCCAGGAGAAGATCAGCAAGAAAGGGTGAAGATGAAGCACAGAGCACACATATTCCAGGGACATTTGGGACTGGAGAACGTACTGCGATCCTCAGACCGCCCCAGGACAGAGGTCAGCGGTGGGGCCACAGTGCGGGATGTCATCAGGCAGACAATGGAGAAGAATGTCCCTTTCTAAAAGGGCCCTCTGACCCCTCTTGTGGCCAGATTCAGAGAAAAGTAGGCACAGAGGAGGCCCCCCTCTTCTGCTGGAGAAATCATTCATTCTCAACAGCGTGAAGCTAGCCCAGGTCCAGATAAGCCGGATAACAGCGGAGGTGGTGGGTACTTGGCCGTGCTGGGGACAGGAATCCGAAGTAGAACAAAAAGTAGGAGTTCTCAAAGAAATGGCTCCCCCTTTATAGGGTGCAGGGGTGGTGGGTGATACACTAAGCTCTGGACATGCTCCTCCCTGGGAGATGGATGGCGAAGGGCTCATGAGTCACACACCCTCCCCAGGGGTGGTGGCAGTATCCACCTCGCTCCAGGTGGCCCCGGGTCTTCTGGAAGCCTGTTCTGTCAGACCAAGGCTTGCTCCACAATGTCGCAGGTCCAGAAAAGCAGGGCCCTCCCCTTCCCCCCTCCACCCTCAGGGCTCCAGCAGCCTGCGGAACCCTCCTCTGGGGCCCAGCCTGCAAATGCCATCTTGTATCACCAGTGTTTCCCATGGTACCTGCCATTTAGCAAATGCAGAATAAATAAATCTTGATGGCATGAATTTGAATGGGCCTGCCGACTTTGTGCAGCACAGCCCTGAGAAAGCGCACTTCCAGATTCTTACCTGTAGCAACAGAAACCAATCCTATAGCAGGTTAGTGGGGAAAACAGATCCATTGTGAGATGTGGAGTAGCTCAGAGAGTAGCTAGGACAGGAAGGGACAGATGTGGCATAGACCAGCACAGAAATGAAGGCCCAGACCACCGCGGGAGAAATGAGGGGAGGACCCCGCTGATGCTGCCCACGTCGCGAGTGGGTGCCATGGCCTCCTTGGGGGACACTGGAGTCGGCGTGGCTGTCACCTTGTCACAACCGGAAGGACCCCTTGCTGCTTCGCTTCACTAACTCCAAATTCTGACTCTAGGGTATGCTTCAGATTGGCTGAGTCTAGAAAAAAAAAAAAAGAAAACAAAGGAATTCAGCATAACTCCCTTCTACCTCCACGTAGGCTCATTCTTTGCTTTCCTTTTATCATCCGAATTCTTCCATGCACGTGCTTCGAAGAAGAAATCTTGCCTGCCCCTCTGTTCTAGAGGCTGAAGTACCACCCAGACCCTCCTCCCAGCTGACCAGGGCCAGGGACTGACAGCTCACAGAGGCCCCTTTGCCTCCCTTACCGGGGGAGCTGCCCGGCTGAGAGTCCTGAACCTTCTTCCCCCTGAGGAAGGGGCAGTTCCAGACACTGACTGACTGGGAGGGGGGCACAAACGTTGGCCCCTGGCCTCAGGGCAGGTTATGTCCCAGAGCACTCCTCCATCAGCCTTTACCTGAGACCACTCCCCTCACCTGAGCTACTCCTTCCCTGAGATCCCATCTTCACCTGAGTTAGACCTTCCCTGAGACCCCAACTTCACCTGAGTTAGTCCTTACCTGAGATCCTATCTTCACCTGAATTAGTCCTTACCTGAGACCCCATCTTCACCTGGTTAGCCCTTACCTGAGACCCCATCTTCACCTGAGTTAGTCCTTACCTGAGACCCCCCATCTTCACCTGAGTTAGTCCTTACCTGAGACCCCATCTTCACCTGAGTTAGACTTTATCTAAGCTCACACCCTTCACCTGACTTAGACTTTCCCTGAGATTGCATTCTTCACCTGAGTTAGACTTTACCTGAGATCACATTCTTCACCTGAGTTAGACTACCTAAGATCCTATCTTCACCTGAGGTAGAATTTACCTAAGATCGCATTCTTCACTTGTCAGACTTTACCAGCGATGCTATCTTCACCTGAATCAGACCTTACCTGAGACCACACCCTTCATGTGACTAATTACCTAAGATCACGTTCTTCACCTGAGTTAGTCCTTACCTGAGACCCCATCTTCCCCTGAGTTAGACTTGACCAGAGAGCCCATCTTCCCCTGAGTTACACTTGACCTGAGATCCCATCTTTCCCTGAGTTAGACTTGACCTGAGATCCCATCTTTGTCTGAGTTAGTCCTTACCTGAGATCCCATCTCATTTGAGTTAGACCTGACCTGAGATCCCATCTTCATCTGAGTTAGTCCTTACCTGAGACCCCATCTTCACCTGAGTTAGTCCTTACCTGAGATCCCATCTCATTTGAGTTAGACCTGACCTGAGATCCCACCTTCACCTGAGTTAGTCCTTACCTGAGATCCCATCTTCACCTGAGTTAGACCTGACCTGAGACCACCTCCTCGCTTGGTGCTCCTTTTCCCTGTACCTATCTCGCTTTCCTTCCTCCCTTACAGGATTTTCCTGAGAATAACCCCAAGGTAAATCACAAGCACCTGCTACTGCTACCTGACTCAGGCTCTGCTTCCCCAACTGGCCTCAGGCACCCCTTTGCCATGGTCACCTGTCCCTCCCCTCACAGGGAGCTCTGCAGTCTAAGGGTCTCCTCTTCTGCTTCTGCACTGGAGTCACAGGAATGAGGCAGGGGCACACGGGGGGCCAGGGAACCAGGCGGACAGATTTGGGAGAACTTTATGTGTGACACTGGCA